TGGGTGTTAAAAACGTCGTATCCCACACAGTGGCCTATCCAGCTTTTGATGTCCGGGGGGCAATTACCGCACTGAGACATCCCCGAACACTTGGCCTCCGTAAAATCCAAAAGTGTGTGTGGGGGGGGGGGGGGGGAGGGCTTGTACCCATTTTCCTAATGGGGGCGCTCTTCAAAACTGACCATTATTATGCATACTGGAAAAAATATGCCGATTTTCACGACTCATTGTAATGGTTTCGGAGCTTGGTTTCTTTTTTTGTGTGTGTCAGAACTCTCTAACCATTTATGGAAATAGTTACTGAAAAAAATATCTTTCAAAAAGCTGCAGGGGGCATGGGACAAGGTGCCCCCCCCCCTATCCCCTCCCCTGCCCCCTCCCTTCTGGATACAACACTGCTCCCACATCACATTTGTCAACAATTGTCAGTTGTAATTGAAGTCCGAGCTAGAAAGAGAAAAAGTATTGTAACATGTGTTGTCAATTTGTTTACTTTAAACTTCAGGTGCTAAATGAAATGTCAGCGGCAGTCAACTGTGAGGAAGCCAAGAAACCTGTCTGCAAAAATAAGAACAGATTCCCAAATGTACTTCCATGTACAGGTAAGTTCATTTTGTAGAAGTTAGTTTACTTTTAAATAGACCGTCAAGTCTAAAAGTGGCCTCTTGAGGCAAACACTTGTTGGCACACTCGCACAGCATTGTGGATTATTCTTAATTGTAGGGAGATGGGTGCTAAAGTAGTCTATGGAATATCTTCATGTATAGCAAGGGTCTATGATATGCAAGCAGATTCGGCAAGTAATTAATGCAAAACAAGACTGTGTCTTGATCTCTATATTCTGACCATTCAGCGGGCGCCTTCTATATCGGGTTTAATTCGGTAACCCGTTGTCATGTACATCTAATAAAACCTAGACACGACATATTTTATGCTTTTACGTTGTAAATTATGTTAGCAGAAATAGCCTACGTCAAGCGGACTGTATCGATACGTTACGCGATGCCCAAACATCCTGCGACTTTGATTTATCATCATGTAGTATTTTGAATAACAGACGTAATGAGAATGCCCTCTTGTGCATTCAAGTTTCACCCACGGTCAGCGTTCCTGTATGTTAACAGTTTTGAAAGCCAATGTCAGGTTTTATTAGATATCTATATCCGTTGTTGTATTACAAAAACATGGCATCAAAATTTACCCATCAACAGGTAAGTCCAGATTTCAGAATGAAATAATGTCATGTTGACTGCAATTGGCTGGCGCGCAGGTTCGCATAAATTTGCATGCGTAGATATATCAGACGTTGGGCCAGAGACAGAGAGGGTGATACAATGGGTGATACTCAGACTAGTGTTCAGGGTTCATTCCTACAAAACCATTTTGTATTTCAATTTATAAAACAAAGAGTGGACTGCAACATTATGTAATTAAAGGGGGTTGATACCATCCAAATATTTTATTGGTTCGTAACTAGTTTTAATTGTAAATATGTAAGGGACTGTTAAACCTGATATGATGTTAGAATTCCATATTTCTGTGTACCTTTCAAAGGTGTAACTATGGGGCATGTGTCTCTCCCCACCCCCCACTCCATTTGAAATCTTGAATTGCACACAACAAATGTATATGTTACCTTCCTTGCCCCCCCCCCCCCTTCTTTCAAAAAAACAAATTGATGAACCCCCCAGCTGCCCCACTTGAAGCTTAACCCTAGTTACGCCGTTGGTACCTTTTAAAAAGCTGCGTCCCCGCGTCAATTCTGGAACTTTGGTCTGACCAGAGACCGAATATTTTTTTTTTTGGCCTTACATACTCAAAATATTTTGAGAGCATGTTGACAATATTCAAATGCAGTAAATCAGGAGATAAAAAATCAAGGGAAAATGTGTTCACAAATCTGATTACTTGATGATCCCCTCTACCATTATTAATCAGGTGGCTTAGATCTAATTTTCGTCAAGATCGTGACCGACTGGTCCAAAGCACCAATCTTGGCAGATAGATTCTTACAGACCTAAAGAAGATATTTAGAAGGGGTGACACCTGAAATTCTTTTGGGAAGGGTGCCTAATTTGTATAAATTGTTAATCCCTGTCGTGTAATATATTTATTCCCAAATTTGGGTATATTTCTATTTTTCATTTTTTTGAAAAGTGTATTTTGGGGATTCTACTTACATATCTTTACTTTAATAACATTTTCCTAAGCATATAAGTGACTGAATAATTATGAGGACATAGTAACGATCCAAAATAAGCTACTATTATGCCCTAAATTGCGCGCATTTACCTTGTCTCCAGATATCATCAATTAGTCTTGCCAAACATCAGCATTGATGAACTTCAAATTCACCAAGTAGCTTACTGGTACAGTTACCCTATTAAAACCTTATGCAAAATCATGTGAACAATGATAACATTGTGATATTTAGCCCAGAAAACAAAAACTGGGAAAAAACAAGGTGCCCATAAATTAGGCTAACAAGTAGGTGAAGGGTTGCCTAACATGGAACACTGGAACAAGTTCAAGGAAATTTCCAAAATTATTGTTGAGAAAACGTTTTGGCGTAGACGAAATTATTGTAAACAACAATAATCTCTTATTTAGGGGGATTTCGTTGAACTTGTTCAAGTCCCCACGTTATCCTTCCCGTACTAGCCCAATTTACGGACACCACATTTTCTCGCCTTTTTTTGGTCATTTGGGCTAAACATCAAGATGTTATCAATTTCCACTTGATTTCCCACTTATTTTTGTTAGGGTAACTATGTCAGTAAGTAACTTTGTGAATTTGAAGCTCATCAATACCCACGTTTGGCGAGCCTAGTTGATGATATCTGAGGAAAAGGTAAATGCGCGTAACTTTAGGGTAAAATAGTAGCAATTTTGGTTCTTTACTATGTCCTCCTAATTATTCAGTCACGTATATGTTTTACAAAATGTTATTGAAGTAAGAATATGCAAGTAGAATCACCAAAATACACTTTTCAAAAAAATAAAAAAATAAAAATATACCCAAATATGGGAATAAATATATAACACGGCAGGGATTAACGTTTTATGCAAATTATGCACCCTTCCCAAAAGAATTTCAGGTGTCACCCCTTCTAAATATCTTCTCTAGGGCTATAAGAATCTATCTGCCAAGTTTGGTGCTTTGGACCAGTCGGTCACGATTCCGACCATATGCCACCTGACTATATGTACAAGTATAAATGTTGGGGAAACCACTGCTGTTATGCTTTTGTCGAAAAACAAAATGGTCCTAAATATAAACAAACGACATCTGATAAAAGACGGCTGTTTCATAAAATCATTGTTGCTATGTTCTCAGAAAACGTTTTTTAAAATGTCTTCAACAAAATATACAGTGAATGAACTAACTAGTGATACAATAACAACGGCCTCCAAATTAAGTGGTCTAAAAATGATAAAATACAAATATATCTTTTTGAGTCGCTTCATCGGTGTAAAATAGGCAGCCCTCATTATGTATGCAATAACCCTAGGAGTCACACATGCCCAGTGGAAAATGCAGCTGAAACGTATGTGAGATGCTGATTGGTAAAATAACAGACTTTGGATCTTTGCTGAAATGCCATTGTTGTCATGGAAGCTGCGTTCTCTTGGAGAGATATTCTGTAATTAAAGCAAATGCTCATTGCTTCATTTAGTCTATCAGCAGTAATTAATTAACCAGTACTCATTCAAAGTTGTCACTTGGTCTATCAGCATTTAGCAAACCAATACTTATTCAGAAAAACAAAAGCCTCAATCATTTATGTAACTAACTAAACTATTATTGTAATGATACAGAACCTTTCACAAGTAGGTCATTCTATACATTTAGGGTCCAAAGTCTGACATTTTTCCTGTCCCTGTAACCTCTGAAATGTATAATTTGCCATTCAATTGGCATTACGAATGACTTCAAACTAATTAATATTTGTTGGGTAGATCATTTGATTCACAGAAACAACCTTGGAGGAAGAGTACACACATAAAGGAGCGCATCTTCTATTGCAAAATCGTAGATGCCAGATGTATAGGGACAGGAAAAAAGTGGACCCCAAATTCATAGAATGTACATATCTTCTATTGCAGTATTAAAAAAAAAATCACATTAAGAAAGGCAAACAAACAAGATTTTAGTACAAAAATGTACATCCATTATATTAACCACATTTACAAACATCCATGTATCATTGCAGTAGAATGCACAAGGTTTTCATTTTCAACTTGGTTGTAAATGTAATGAAACTAATATTAATTTGATGAGGCACTCAGAAAGTACTGTGAAAGAGACAACCAAGAGATTGCATATGATTTACTTTTGATCTATCACTTTAGTTAAAAATCACACATATTTCATTCAGTTGCTCTCGTGTAATGTACTTGTCTCATGTACACAGAGGTGCCAAATCTTTCTCATTCGAACATATATGTAAGTTGCATTCATCTAAACTCAACAATTTCCCCCAAAATTGAAAAATCGAATAACAATATTAAGGAAATGTTTACATTTCATACAGGAGCAGGGTTATATCTTTTACTTGGAAAGCACATCATGCATTGACTTTGCATTTGCTGACATGAATTTGAGAAAATTGAATTTCCCTGTCGTATACCTTCCATCTTCTTGGTAATACTTTCCCTCTTGTTTGTTATCATTATTAAAATGTGCACTCTGCCCTATTTGCAAACAATGTGAAGGGTCATTCCTTTTCTCTCATTATTGGACCACCAGATCTAGGATTTTATAGGAAATAGGCTGGATGTTAAAGTCCAAGATTTTCAAAAATGGAAATGGTAGTTAGGTATTAGAGTCAACACATACAGAGACCAAAGACCTTAGAAATATACCAAATATACAGTATTGTAGAATGTTATTTGAAGGGAATGAACTTTAAAGTTCTTTTTCAGTGATAACAAAGTTCAATGGCTGATGGAAGTGGTTGGTGGATACACTGGATAGCCCCAGTTTAATTAATCTGTCCTTACACTAGGTGATAGACCTTTACAGAATGTCCTACAGCCACTACCAGATCACCATTTGGTGTGAATGTGATGCCACGTAGAGGACCAGATCCCTTGATCGCACATCCAATGTACTTGCCATCAGGACTGTAATGCAGAATATTACTCGGTGGATGTCCATACACAGCAACATAGATGCTGCCGTCACTGTCACAGCACACAACAGTAGGGCACCAACCCCCCTGCTTGTTGCTGGTCATGTCTACTGAGAATACACTGGCACCATAGTAGTCTTCACATACCAACCTTTTGGTCATGCCTGTTGTGTAGATAAGGCGGTGATTGTACATTGTCAGATAATATCCAATCATTGGAGCAGACAGTCTCCTGATGAGGGATCCGTCTGGGTTGTGTAGAGATATCTCCTTCTTGCCTTCATAACCCACTGCTATCAGATTGCTGTCATCCACTGCAAGGCATGTTGGTTTGTATGACCCTCTACCTGGTGTGAACTGATGGAGGAGCTGATGTTGCTTGTTGAAGACCTTGACTACTCGACCATCTAGAGCAAGGAGCTTGTCATCCTTGCTCACTGCGATACACCTTATAGCATTAGTAAGGCCATTGATTTGTAGCCTTTGTGGGATAAGAGATTGTTCAAGGTGACTATTGGGAATTGAAGCTGTAAATAGTGCACAACTGTGTCCAGAATATGTATTTTTAAATAGTACAATTATTTTATTGCCAGAGAGTGCTGCAACATCTGCTATCAATGCATTTGTTAATTGCAAGTTCTTGACTTCGGTCTTCAGATCCCATTTCTCCTTCACACATGATCTTGCAGGTCTTGGTGATTGCTTAGCTGCAGCCTGTGGCTCTTCTTCCAGAATGAGTCTCCCAAGTGACCTCTCATCATCTTCATAGTCCATGAAGCTCAATTTATCAGGAACTTGCTGTGGCTGTTTCCCTGTCAATTCACTGAGGTTATGGAAGAGCTTCTGCTGAAGTTCAAGAATCTCACAGCAACTTGCTTGATTCATGAGTTGTTTGACCTCCTCCAGCTTGTGCTCTGTCTGTGTCACCTCTTTCCTGTTGGTAGCTTGAGCAGCTTCAAATGTTGCAACTCTTTCCTGATAAATCCTGTCAGTCTCTTTTAACAGTTTCTGCTCCTCCTGTCGGATCTTGGCAACCTCTTGGTCAGCTTTTTCTGAGATTTTCTTTTTGGTGTTTGCAAACATGATGTCGAGTTTCTTGCGAGATATGCAAGTCTCCTCTATGGTGGTGCTTAGTTCTGTTTTGCTTTTACCAACTTTTGCAACAAGTTCTTCTATTTTTTTCTTACATTTCTCAAAAGCCTCAGGTAAGCCAATAAAAGAATGTTTTGGTTTTTCATGATCTAGAACAGTACACATGAGACATATGACTTGCTCACATGTATTACAGTAGACATTGAGATTCTGATCTGGATGCTTGCCACATTTGGGAACTTCATCTCTTAGTTTACTCTTGTAGACAATCTCTCCTGATCGAAGTTCAGCCAGTGTATACATTTTGTGAGATTTCATAACAGTCATACGCCCATGAGCCTTTTGACATTCTTGACAGAGGAAATGATCACAGTCTGCGCATCTTGAAATAGCCTGATTCTCCTCATCACAGTTTTGACATTTGATGTCTGACCCTTGACCTTCCAGTAGCTTTTCCTGCATTGTAACTTCCTCCACCAGGGCACTGAATGCAAAGTTATTAGGGAGATCAGCAACCCCAGACACTTTCAACATGGTTTCACGTCTGCACAGAGGACATGTCAGCTTTGTACCACTAGGATCTTGGCTCTGTCTGACATCGTGGAGGCATTGCAGGCAAAAACTGTGCAAACAGTCCAGCAGTTTGGGCTGCCTGAAACGGTTGGTGCAGATGGAGCATTCCAGATGATCCACACTAATCTTCTCCAACACTGATTGCACTGTAACACTAGATGCCATCTTCACTGTTGGGCTTGGTGCGATAGGATGGACCTTTAACCTGAAAATGAAGCACATTAAGTAAAAGGTTTTGGAATAACACGTATTTCAACTTCAAACTAGAGTTTCGCGTTTGTTGAGTTACAAACGCAGAGTGGTCGGGCGGACAGCCTTTTCATTATACACTGCCCAGTGAAGTTAGGAATATATGTTTATGTAGAAAAAAAGGATCACGAAATTAAATCCATTCAAGTACAATCAATGTTTCAAAAAGGTATCTTTAATGGTGTGATAAATTTCAGTAAACATTCTATGTGCACAAAAAGTTATTTCTGGTTTGATGACGTCATCAGTCAAAAATGGTTAGTGAATACTGATAAAGTTTGGAGAGGATAATTTTTCATTGTTAAAATAATGTATGAAAATATGGGAAATATAATTGTTTGTATTAATAACACCTAACTTCCGGTTTGATGACGTATTGATAACACCTAACTTCCGGTTTGATGACGTCACAGCATTAGAGATCCAAAGGTGAACATTGTAATGGAAATCATTATTTGGACTTCGAAGATATGACAGGGATCAAATGATAGAATTAAATTAAAACTATGATCTTTTTCAAATTCTCCTTAAAGTAACTTCCGGTCTGATAACGTCATGAATTTGAAACCTTGCCAAGTTATCTGTGGTTAATCAGAGAATGTCACGGGGGCGATTTGGTAAAATTTGGACGGATGGTTTTACAATTAAAGAAGGGAAACTCTATTTTATGTGCCGATAGGGGGCGCCCTTTCGGATGATGACGTCATCACACTGTTTTTGCGTCTTGCATTCCTCACTTAACACTTTCATAATATATATGTCCGTAGTAAAATGCTTCTGCGTTTGAGTTATATTCAGTTTTTATTGCACTTCCGGTAAAACCGGAAGTAAAGGTCAAGCGGTTTTGCGTCCGGAACACGAAATGTTTCTCACGGCATAGTCTACAACCTTACGAAAAAAACGAACACGATACTCTATTCAGTTAAAAAGATATAACGCAAACTATTTTGTCAAAATTTGCCCTTAAATCGCTTGTAATTTGATACCCGATGACGTCATGATGACGTAACAAAATTTATAACATCTTCGTAACATGGTACAAGTTCACACAAGGCTTTGTGATCATACCGTGAACCGCTCGGAAGAAATGCTGCTTTGTTTTGATGTCAGGCTAACGTCTTCATTTTAAATTCACCTAACTTTGACCTTCGACCTTCCGGTAGACCCGGAAGTAAAGGTCAAGCGAGTTCACGTACACGACAAAAACTGTTAAGCGATTAATGGTCTTTCTGATTACAGAATACAAACATCATTGATTGTTTAGTTCAAGAGTTATAGGTGAAAGTAATTGGTCACTTTTTCAGATAAAATCACTTGTAATTTGACACCTGATGACGTAATCATGACGTCAGAGTAATATGCACCACTTCGGATGAGGGTCGATATATATTGAAAGTTACAAGTTCATACCATATACCGTTTAAGAGAAAATCCGCGGAGAAGTATTGTCCGGAAAAAAAAAAAAGAAAGAAAGAAAGAAAGATTAATCGGAACAGATCCAAAGAGTGGTCGGGTTGTGCCCGACCACTCAATGATAATTTGGTTGAAATAAGTGAGATGTAGCCTATAGTTGAAAACTTTTTGTCAAGTAGAATGTTCATAAAATTAAAGGTTTATTCACATACTATATGCTTGATTTAAACCTGATGTTAGGTTTCCAAAAGAAAATAGCAATTAGTTACAACAAATGTATAATAGGGTTACCTTGTTAATATAAGAGCACATTTTATCCTGAACAATGCAATATAAAAGAATTCTTTTCAGCTGTTATAGGACATTTTCTGCATCTCAAGTAAGTTGTTATAAAGTTCATTAAAAGTCAAACAAAAGTAGGTCACAAGTAAAACAGTTTTCAATGACAAACAATTGCCGACGGTTGCGCGGAATTTTAAAAAGGGCACTCGTAAATGGCCGCTGGTAACCAAAAAGGCACTGATTTTAATTTTAAAAAGGGCCTTGTTTACAAAAAAAGGCCCTCTTTACAAATAGGGGGGGGGGGGTAACCGATGATGTAAAATTGCTCGTGTATACAAAAGGTTAGTCTTACTGTTTAATACTCAGGTGGGACTTGAACCCAGTACCTCCTGTTTAGTGCAGACGTCTTATCACTCAACCTCTGAGCTTGCCTGGTCAGCTGGGTGGTTCGAGTGGAGGTGGACAGGAGTCTGTAACCAAATATTTTCTGTGCCCAAAAATATATATATTTAAGTACTTAAACTGGCCTAGATTTAAAAATGTAGACTTATTTAAAAAGTTCACCTTCTTTAAGAAAAGTGCACTAATTTCCTAAAAAAATAAACTTATACCTTCACATAGTTGGGTTTTTTTTGGGGGGGGTTATTTTATTATTATTTTGTGATTCATTAAGCAACACCTTTGCGGAATCTTCTGCTTGAAAAGCTCTAACATGCATTTTGTAAGACTGCATCTAAGTACAAACATTGCCTGTCACTTATTTCTGTCGTGAATACAAAGAGATTCATGTATTCCACATGTCTGTATTCTAACAGGTTTGACGGATCCACCTGAATTTCCAGTTAATAGTATACACTTGTAATTGGCAAATACAGAGTTTATGTACATGTACTTCATATGAGATAATGTGATGCTGTTGATTTATATCAGATGTACAGACAGACTTACAGGTAGACCCACTAAATAAAAATCTTACCTTCAGGTACACATGAAATGAGCCACTGCTATCTTCCCATTCTGATGTCACTTACGGAAATGGTAGAAATGAACAAAGATGGCGATCTACTGTATGTATACGCCCCTCTGTATCAACACGGACCATGTCACATGATTTTGAGTTCAGTTATTTGCAGTCCCTGGAGTCCACTTATGCAGCGCTTTGGTACGTGCTGTACGAGTAAAATCAAACACAGCATGCGACTGTTTTCTACATCTAACGGATCCAAAGGTCTATAGGCTGTTAATATAAACAATTTGACAGACAAGTTTATTAGAATAGTAAACATAAAGAAGCCGAATGAAGCTGAATTTCATCGCAAACGGCATTTACTTTGCTCTCATGTCGCAAGTCAGGAAACTCAAGTTTGTAGTATAGACAAAAGTAAACTAATAAGGAAGAGGTACATGAAATGAACCGACAATGATAGTTTTGGAATCTAGTTTTGTTTTGTTGGTTGTTTTTTGTTTAATTTCTTTATATTTATTCACATTTTAGCAAGTGTGCAATTGGTGTTTTACATTACACTCAACGGCACTGCGCTTGCATAGTTTATCTATGTTATCATAATTCATCATAACTAAAATTGTTATTTCTTACAGTGATTCTGCATCAGTGCTTCGTTACCAAATTTCCAAAACTCACATTTTTAACGCTTTCTCTTTTATCAATAAGCTACATGCATCCCAATTATTAAGTTCACGCAGCAGTAAATTTAAATATTAATTTATATTTTTTGCCTTCCGTAGGCTGATTGGTCCATTGCTGAGATGAATGCTGAGATTAGAGAGATCAAGCCACACCCACCTCTACACATCACAGACTGATAAACAGGTAACACAACATCAATATGTGATGTCAGTCTATTCTAAATCTGTATATGGTTGCTCAAGATGGGCAGGGCATTGATGCCAGTTTTCAGGATATAGCCTGAAGTCAGGCTTTTTGCATATTTTGGAAAAACAAACTCAGGCAATCCGTCCCTTCACAGGCCAGGAAAAAAAATCATCAACGCCATGCTGTAGCTCGATACTTGATTGCATGAATTATAAGTTCAAAGTAGACATACATATCATGTACACATGTGTGGTATTGCAATGTGTTTACAATGTGTTGGTATTCCTTTGTTATTGTTCAACTCCTGTTACCTGTGACTGAACTTGTAAAGGGACTTGTGATTTACTAATAAAAGGACATGTGATCTTGCTTGTAATCTTGCTTGTAATTGAGGGTCGAGTTGAAGCCTTGGGCTTATATGACCTATCAAATCTTGGTCAGAACTAATCTGATCTGAGCTGAAAGAGGGCATGTGGTTGCAGAATAGAAATAACACAAACGAATAGCACTTGATGAGATAATAAATGATTAATATCTTGGAGTGAGTTTGCACTTGTGGAACTTCCAACCATTATTGAGATTTGCTTAAAAAAGAACTTGTTCCCATTTTCTCGTCATCCTCCATTTTTTCTCTCTCTATATACACAATATAAACAGTTTACTGTTTAGATGTTTTCAATGCCCCAGTGTTCCCCCTAAACTACTGTAAATCTGAGTGTGTCTTGCCCTTTTCAACACAAGAAAACGCCGATGACATTCAATTTTCATTGTTTGCACCTTTTCAATAGAAAGTACTACCGGTATTCCAAAGTCTTTGAAAAATGAAATTTTCCTCGTACTTACAAAAACCTTCCATCCCTAGTTGTGCTGCTGGTACCTTTAGAAAGTTGCAGATGCTGATTGGTAAAATAACAGACTTTGGATCTTTGCTGAAATGGCATTGTTGTCATGGAAGCTGCGTTCTCTTGGAGAGATATTCTGTAATTAAAGCAAATGCTCATTGCTTCATTTTGACTCTTTGGTCTATCAATTTCACTATACCAGTTTTGATCATGTTTTGATCAAACTAGCTAATACATTTGTATCATAAAAAAAAATTGACACCCCTATTCCTATAAATGTAACTGTTTGTTAATGATGTCATAGACTAAGCCAGCAGTACACACTTCAGACGTCAAATTTTTGGATATCTACTTTATTAACATTTGCTGAAAGAATGAAGGGGACACATGGTTATGCCAGTCTAAGTTACATAGAAGTGAAGACAAAATAGTTTTGCTTTTACATCGTGAATAAGGGACCAGTGACTTATGCATTAAAATATATGCATGATGCTATCAAGCTACATGAGTCCGTTGTCGACCCTGGTCACATTTTTTTTAATACAAATTTGAAAAGAGCACAATCTCAGCATAACTGCTGTGAAAACCGCATGCTGATACCATCTTTAGATCAAAAATTATGGAAGTTGGAACATCAAGAGATGTGACCAAGAGATGTGATGAAGTGGTCCTATTTTTGCCTGTATCGCCCAATAAAAATACTCTACAAACGACTCATTTAGCTTATCGCATCGCAAATGGAGATGGAATGATTATTTCTTAGAAACAACAAATTATATGCACATACGAAAACCATTGTCTTTCAAACTGTATGAAATGGCAAACTCTTCTGAAGTTTTTGGAAAACAAAAACTTTATCAAGAATAACCTTTACGTTGTTAAATTAGCAAAACTAACTAAAGTCATGAAGATGGCTGTTCTATTTCACTAAAAAATTAGAGCAGCAAAAATGTTCCACAAAAATTAGTTCATACAGTATGCTTGAGCTACTTCCATTTCTCTCCATAAAAATTCTTAGGTTCTCTGTAAATTGAAACGGGTCCCTTTGATTGGCCGAGCCAAATGCCAAAATTCAGCTAGCCTTCGATCTAAGTTGAAATTTAGAATATACCAACAGGATTCTAAGACAATGAATTATTTCCCTTGATTTCAGAAATTGCCAGAAAAGCTGTTTTAGCTTTAAATTACTAGATACGAAATGTGCAAGGTTTGCTGCACCTTTTTTAAAGGCAATAAAGTCACATTACTTTCTTCACCTAGATCCAAATTGAATAAGTATTTACATATGCATAGACTTTTAACACACTGTTGCATCTAAAGAAGTTCTGCAGAATTTTTAAATTGCCTGGCCGACCAAAACAAAAATGTGTTTTGCAAGTAAACACAATCCTAAACACTTTCTTGCTATCAGTTTGTAAATATGTTTACTTGCTAAACATTTTAACATGAGGTTATAGCAAGAAAGCATTTGGAATTGTGCTAACTCGCTTAAGACATTTTTTTGTAGGCCAGGCAAATATCCACACAGAGGCAGTTATGTTACCTTTGTCCCAATGCCTAAAAGTGAAATGTTGGTCCCATGGTCAATTTGACCTCTCTTGGAAAATTACTCATATAACGCTGTCAACAATTATCAGATTTGAACGTTTGATGTCTCATTTTAAAATGGAAAAGCGCATCTTTCAAACCATACCTATATTATCTATGTTGGTTACACATTCTACGTCTGGTATATTTTGTTTGCATTTATTTAGATACACACTGTACATTTCTCCCCTAAAATTGAAAAATATATATATAACTGATGCAATAGCCCATTAGTTAAATAGCCAAACAGTTGTCTCTGTTTTAATAAAAGTATGTTTAATCAGGAGACATAAAAGATGTTCATCACTTATTCAAAACGGAAATGTTACTTGATCACACGTACATGTACACACATTATGTTTATACACAGAGTTGTCGTGTGCACGAGTACAAAAGTTATATACTTTTCAAAGGCAGATATGTAACTTTATCAAAATGCAAATTGTACATGCTTCATACATTTAAATATTGTACACGTGTATAATCAATCAGACTCATTGACAAATAGAGATTTGTCACTTCGTCAAAAACGAAAATAAAATTAAGTTGTCACACATTCACCTCGTGGTGTATTAGCCTTTAATATTATGAACAATACAATTGTGTGTCTCAAAATGTTGGAATTATGTAGAGTTGTATCATAAAATGTTAGAATATCAAAACATCTGAAATTCCTTAAAATCTGGGTTTCAGTGGATTCATCACATTGACAAAATGGTGACAATATGTTCAGACTAATTGGTACACAGTGTTACTGCATCCAAATCAACAACAGCTTGACTTTTTTCTTTCCCTTAAAGAAAGCTGGAGCTGTCTTTAGAGGGAAAGTAAAAAAAAATTTTTGAATTGACACATTGTTTACAAAGCCTAAGTTATCCAAGATTGATGGACCAGTGATAATCAGTTATCCAATTATTTCCAATGAATCTGCAATTTGAGTGATTTTTAAAATTAAAAGGGCAGTAATAAAATCAACTAAATGTGACAATTACCAAGCTTTGTACATAATGTACATCCTTTCTATTTTTGTGATGGCTATCACTGTTTGATTCTCAAAATTGAGTATATTCTACCTCTTATTTCCCTCTCCTTATAAGATCATTTGTTGTAATATATCTTATGGGAAAACTTTGGTAGGCAATGATGGTTGGTTACAAGTGTTATACATTGTGAGTGGATTAGGTGCAATTGCATGATGGGATTTGACCTGACTTCCAAGATGAGTGCTGATATTGATGGCACTGGCAACTAACAATGGAAGTCTATGCTTATGATTACAGCTATTACATGTAATTGGCAAAGAAAGTCTGCAGTAAACAAGTAATTATGCATATAGACTCCTTCAGTTATCAGCAACTGGAGAAATACATTATGCAGGGAAAATAATTATGCGGGGAATACCTATTTCCCAATTTCAGTTCTGCTTGTGTTAGGAAAAGAGGTTTTGGATATTTTGGATACCGTGAGAGTTGTAGTTTCAACAAAGCATGCATGAATATCACTGATTACTTTGTTGCTGATTTAATTTCCTTTACTTTTCTATTTTCCCTGGGTGTAATTATTCTGTCCTCACACGCGGTAATAGACCTGTACAGACTTTTCTGCAGCCACTACCAGATCACCATCCAATGTGAATGTGATGCAACATGGAGAACCACATCCTTTGATAACACATCCAATGTACTTGCCATCAGGACTGTAGTGCAGAATATCACCTGTGGGATATCCATACACAGCAACATAGATGCTGCCATCACTGTCACAGCACACACCATTAGGGCACCCATCCTCCTGTATGTTGCTGGTCATGTCTACTGAGAATACACTGGCACCATAGTAGTCTACACATACCAACCTTTTGTTAAACCAGTTTGTGTTGATAAGGCGGTGGTTGTGCATTGTCAGATAACCTCTAATCATTGGAGCAGACAGTCTCCTGATGAGGGATCCATCTGGGTTGTGTAGAGATATCTCCTTCTTGCCTTCATAACCCACTGCTATCAGATTGCTGTCATCCACTGCAAGGCATGTTGGTTGGCTGGCTGACCCTCTACCTGGTGTGAACTGATGGAGGAGCTGATGTTGCTTGTTGAAGACCTTGACTACTGGACCATCTAGAGCAAGGAGCTTGTCGTCCTTGCTCACTGCAATACACCTTACATGAGCGAGGCCACTGATTTGTAGCCTTTGTGGGATAGGAGATGGTGTATGTTGACTATTGGTCAGTGATACTGTGAATAGTGTATTATTCCAATTGGTTAATACTATGTTATTGTCAGAGAGTACTGACACATGTCGTATCACTGTATTTCCTAATTCAAAGTTCTTGATTTCAGTCTTCAGTTCCCATTTCTCCTTCACACATGATCTTGCAGGTCTTGGTGATTGCTTTGCTGCAGCCTTTGGTTCTTCCTCCAGAATGAGTCTCCCAAGTGACCTCTCACCTTCTTCAAAGTCCATGAAGGTCAACTTGTCAGGAACTTGCTGTGGATGCTTCCCTGTCAATTCACTGAGGTTATGCAAGAGCTTCTGCTGAAGTTCAAGAATCTCGTAGCAACTTGCTTGATTCATGAGTTGTTTCACCTCCTCTAGCTTGTGCTCTGTCTGTGTCACCTCTTTCCTGTTGGTTGCTTGAACAGCTTCAAAAGCTTTGAGTTTGTCTTTATAAATCATGTCTGTCTCTTTTAACAGTTTCTTTTCTTCCTTTTGGATCTTTGTTATCTCCTTTTGGATCTTTGCAACCTCCTGTTTGAGCTTTGTAATCTCCTGTTGGAGCTTTGTAATCTTCTGTTGAGCCTTTTTGGAGATTTTCTTTTGAGTTTTGGCAAACATGGTTTCCAGCTCTTTGCAAGATTTGCATGTGTCTTCTATGGTGGTGCCCAATTCTGTTTTTCTTCTCTCACTGTTTTGGACCATTTCTGTGATCTTCTTCTTACATTTTTCTACTGCCTCAGGTAATCCAGTGAGTGTGTGTTTTGCATGATCAAGTACAGAGCAAGTTGTGCATATGACTTGCTCACATGTGTTGCAGTAGACATTGAGATTCTGATCTGGATGCTTGCCACATTTGGGAACTTGTTCTCTTAGTTTACTCTTGTAGACAATCTCTCCTGATCGAAGTTGAGCCAGTGTGTACATTTTGTGAGATTTCATCATCAAATTCATTCGTCCATGTGCCTTGTGACATTCTTGGCAGAGGAAATGATCACAGTTCATGCATCTTGAAATAGCCTGATTCTCCTCATCACAGGCTTGACATTTGATCTCTGACCCTTGACCTTCCAGTAGCTTTTCCTGCATTGTAACTTCCTCCACCATGGCACTGAAGGCAAAGTTATTCGGGAGATCAGCAACCCCAGACCCTTTCAACATGGTTTCACATCTGCACAGAGGACATGTCAGCTTTGTACCACTAGGATCTTGGCGCTGTCTGAGCTCTTGGAGGCATTGGAGGCAAAAACTATGCAAACAGTCCAGCAGTTTGGGCTGCCTGAAACGGTTGGTGCAGATGGAGCATTGCAGATGATCCACACTAATCTTCTCCAACACTGATTGCACTGTAACATTAGATGCCATCCTCACTGTTGGGCTTTGTGTGATAGAATGGACATTTAACCTGCAAATAAAAGCTTTGGAATTACATGTATTCAAACTTCAAATGATGATATGGTTGTAATAGGTCAGATGTAAAGTTGAAAACTTTTTGTCAAGTACATTATTCACAAAATTGAAGGTCTATTAATATGCTACATGTATATGCTTGTTTTAAAACTGTAGTTGTTTAGTTTTGTTCAAAAGAAAATAGCAATCAGTTGCAACGAATGTACAATATATGGTTACCTTGTTAAAGGGAATACACAACATTTGTTTCTGCTGTAATATTCTGAAATGGATGTATTTGGTGGTTAGTATTTTGTAGCAAATATTGTTATGTTGACTTGTTTTAAGTTTTGTGTTCGCAGTTACTAGAAAAACCAAAAAAAAAAACAATCCTGTTCTTGTAGACTGGTTCCCCGACCCAAAATGATGAAATGAAGCAATTTATAGACGTCAGGGAATTGGATCAGGGAACCAGTCTAGCTTGCTTGTACCCATTCATAGGAGTGTATTTGATTGCAAACTAAATCTGTTAAATTGGGGGTTTGAAAAGAGTCAGTTTTGTCCAATGCTGGTCAGTCGACCAGCATTGGAAATCGATACAAAAATACCACTTTTCCTGAAAATGTCAGCACGTGCCATGATTTTACAGGATTCTTTAGACTGTCATTCACTAGCAGTGCAGTAAGGTATTTCATGATAATTTGGTAGTTTTGTTTTTTGATGTTTGCAAATGTTGTATATTCCCTTTAATGTAAGAGTATAATTATATATTTTGTCCTGACAAATGCAACAATAAAGAATTTGTTTCAGCTGTTATGGGCCATTTTCTTACGCCTAAGGTAAATTATAATAAAATTCATAACAAGTCAAACAAAAGTAGGTCACAAGTGAAAGGTTTTCCACTTTGACAAAAAATGCCTTTTGCCACAGTTTTTAATATAAATAGTTTGTGAGTTGACCTGACGAAGAATGACACTTTGTTGACTTTATGAGGATGTGGCTTCAGGTCTGAATGAAACAGTTCACACAAAAAATAGATTTTTTTTTCTAACACTGGATTTTGCCCTACACTGACGTATTTGTATGAACACTGTATACTCAGTGTTGAAAAAAGTTTGTGAAAAGAGTACTCGCACGTCCCTCGGTAAAATTAGCCTGCGTAAAATAAACAATAAAGTGAGGTGGGGGGGGTGAGGTGGGGGGGGGGGCTCATCTTGGTATTGGGGCGCTGTTCAAACCAGACGATCATGGACAATATGTGGCACTTTTCAGGGTGGCACAATTGCTGATGGTAGCCCAAAATTCCCAAAAGGGTACTCGTAAAAGGCTGCTTGTAACAAAATAGGCACTGTTTAAAAAAAAAGGCATTGTTTAAAAAAAAAAGGGCACTCTTTACAAATATCCGGGGGGGGGGGGGGGGTTACGCTAGAGTTAAAAGGGCACTTGTATACAAAAGGGCTGTCTTACTGTTACTCAGGTGGGGCTCGAACCCAGTACCTCCTGTTTAGTGCAGACGTCTTATCACTCCACCTTTGAGCTTGCCTGGGTCAGCTAGGTGGTTTGAGTTGAGGTGAGCTGGAGTTACTGCAACCAAATATTGTGTGTACCCCCAAAAAAATTACAAGTACTTTAATTGGCCCATATTTCAAATCGTAGACTCAAAGTCCACTTTCCTTTAAGAAATTTCATAAAAAATACATTTACCTTTTTATTTTTTGTTGTTTTATTATTATTTTGTGATTCACTAAGCTACGTTCTTAAAGGTCTAACACTTGTTCGTAAAATACAAACAATACGTCACTTATTTCTGTCATGAATATAAGGAGATTCATGTATTCCACATGTCTGTATTCTAACAGGTTTGACGGATCCACTTGAATTTCCAGTAAATACGTATACACTTGTAATTGGCAAATACTGAGTTGACATGTACATGTACTTCATATGAGATAATGTGATGCTGTTGATTTATATCAGATGTATCGACAGACTTACAGGTAGACCCACTAAATAAAAATCTTACCTTCAGGTACACATGGAATGAGCCACTGCTATCTTCCCATTCTGATGTCACTTACGGCAATGGCAGAAATGAACAAAGATGGCGATCTATGTATACGCCCCTCTGTATCAACACAGCCCATGTCACATGATTTTGAGTACACTCATTGGCAGTCCCTGGTTCCACTTATGTAGCGCTTTGGTACGTGCTCATAGTAAAATCAAATGCAGTGTTTTATATCAAATTGGTCCAAAGGTGTCGGGCCGGTAATATTTGCAGTACCAGTACCCAAATTCTGATAACGTAGCACTGTGGTACGTGCTCATAGTAAAATCAAATGCAGTGTTTTATCTCAAATGGATCCAAAGGTTCTGATCTGGTAATATTTGCAGTCTCCTGATTCCACTTATGTAGAGCTTTGGTACGTGCTCATAGTAAAATCAAATACAGCATGCTGACTGTGTTTTATATCTAATGGATCAAAAGGTCCTGGGCTGGCAATATGACAGACAGGTTTATCAGAAAGGTAAACATAAAGAAGCCACAGGTCAATTACCTGATGCAGTTTAAAATTCTAAACTGACTGTTATTGCAGATGACACCTGTTTTAATATCCTTTGATATGTTTCCAGTCAGGATACTCACAAGGGCATCAATTGCTTCTCAAAAGTGGGGGGAGGAGCATATCTTTAACAGTGTTAATGGGAGCGCAAAGCCCTAACAGCATGGAGTCTAGGGCCCGCTTAAGGGCCCCGGGAAATGTTGCAGTCTAGACGCTCTGTGGTGTGATCTGAGGCAATTTCTGACCACTTCAACAAATTTTTGAAGAGCAAAATAATCATCTTTTAGACATTATTTTTGCGTTTGGAGTCATCAGCTATTGTGAGTTATAGAATCATTATGTTGGCAACAATTTTTATTCGGGACAAAAAAGTGAGGAAGGGGCACTTTTCCCCCTGTCCCCCACCGATTGTCGCCCATGGATACTCAAGTCTGTTGTGTAGACAAAAATAAACAAATAAAGAGGTAAAAAATGAACCGGCAGTAATTAGTTTTGGAACGTAGTTTTGTTTTGTTGTGGGTTTTATTTTCCTTCACTTTCTTTATATTTTTTAGCTAGTGTGCGGTTGGTGTTTTACATGCATATAAATAGCATTCAACAGCACAACGCTTGCAAACATAATTTAAATTATATTCATCATAACAAAACTTGTTGTTTCTCTCAGTGATTCAGCATCTGCAGTGCTTTGTTACAAAATTTCCAAAAACTCACATTTCTAAAGCTTTCTCTTCTATTGCATCCCAGTTCAGTTCATTTGGCACTAATTTTGAATATTCATTCATATTTTGTGCCTTCCATAGGCTGATTGGTCCATTGCTGAGATGAATGCTGAGATTTGGGAGAGCCACACCCACCTCTACACATCACAGACTGATTAACAGGTACTAACACAACAGCAATAATGTGGTGTCAGTCTATTTGAAATCAGTATATGGGTGCTCGAAACAGGGGGGCTGAAAATCATAAGGGTAGTCTTGTCACATGTTTTCTGTCCCAGTTTCTTAAAAGGCCCACAACCTTTTGCAATTATTAAAAAAATTAGCATTAAATCAGTTAAGTCAGTTTCTTTTTCAGTTTCATTATTTGAAGAACTTGTTGAAACCATTATTTTCTTTTCTTAACACATGAACACAGACATATTTTCTCAAGCCCAAAATCTTGAAAAATAATTCCACTCACAAAACACTGTCACATATCGGACATCTGGCAAAATGTATGGGTGATCATGAGGTTTCAGTCTGCGTACAATTTTCGTGCTGCAATCTGTTGTCACAACTGATGCTTGTGATCATGCCATGCACTCCAGGCTGAATGTGGTCCCTGTACAAGATCCCTTTATGAAGTCACCAAGGAGGAGGATTTTATCCAACAGAGGAATGACAAGGAGATTCTGATCCAGGATAATGTAAAATGAGTCCTTGGCATTGTCAGCAGCAGCCTGATAATTTTGGCCAAATGTTTAAAAATTCAAACAGCACGAAATAATGTGCAAAACTGTTTACAAAACTAAACACGGGTGACTATTTTTACAGTATTTTATTAGTAAAATTCTCCCCCTCCTTTCTCCCCCAGGTCCCAGTCCCATGACCATGACGATTCTAGGTCCTGTGGTTCTGACACCAACATCCCCTCTAGAAGGACCAAGACTGTGTTGTCAGCGATGCCCAGATGTGACACATGATGCTCACCAGACCGGCCAAGCTTGATGCTTATTGGGTCAGTCACTACCGAACACCATTACCACACTGCAAAAACAGATAGATAAGCAAGACCCTGTGGAGGAATTCAAGGTGAATCTGAGGTAAAAGTTTGGCTCAGTGGTATTTCGAGAACTTACCAATTTAAAAATCTCAAACAAATTGCATGAATTTCTGTAGTCTATAGAATTTCAAGTGAGGTTATCAGATCTTCCCATTCTCGTATCTGCAAAGCAGAATGTATCAGAATAGAAGGGCTTTATTGGGCAACGAACCGAATATTGCTCTTGATCAGCAATAGCTCAATGTATTACCAGACAGTTTTGCCAAACATGTTTTGTTTAGTCAGTGAAATGTGACTCACAAGTGACATGTAACCGATGTCTAGTCTGAGTCATGAGTTGAGTCATGAGAGCTGAGTTTGAGTCATCATCCATTGTAACTTGAAGTTGAGTCTGAGAATTTGCAACTCAAGTCAAACTCAAGTCCAAGTCACAGACTCTGTTCAATATTTCTGCCATACTGGTGAATGCCTATATTGTCCGTGCACTTGCTGAAGAATGAATATGCAAATGATTAAGTCGGACAAAGATAACTTGGTTTGTAATTGAAGTCCGAGCTAGAGAGAAAAAAAGCAATGTAATGTGTGTTGTCTGTCAATTTGTTCACTTTGAAATGTAGGTGCTATATGAAATGTCAGTGGCAGTCAACTGTG